TATTATAAATTTCAATGGGCTTAATTATTCTGAATGGAGTGAACAAATCCAGTTTCATTTAGGTGTTTTGGATCTGGATTTTGCACTACTTAATGATAAGCCTACTACTCTTACTGATATAAGCAGTGCTGAAGAAAGATCTTTTCATGAAACTTGGGAAAGATCAAATAGATTAAGTCTAATGTTTATGCGAATGATTATAGCAGACATTATTAAGCCAACACTTCTAATAACAGATAATGCTAAAGAATTTATGAAGTATGTGGAGAATGTTTCTCAATCTGAGTCTGCTGATAAGTCACGTCTTGGAACTTTAATGGGTATGTTAACCACCATGAAATTTGATGGTTCTCGTACTATTTATTAGCACATTACTGAAATGACTAATATAACAACAAGATTGAATACTATGGGAATGAAAGTGAGTGAAAGCTTCATTGTACAGTTTATTATAAATTCATTACCTCCTGAATATGGTCCATTCCAAATTAATTATAATACTATTAAAAATAAATGGAATATGACCGAATTATAGAGTATGCTTATTCAGGAGGAATTAAGGCTTAAGAAAGAAGGAATTCACTCAATTAATCTCATAAATCAACCAGATTTTAAAAGAAAATAAGAAAAGAAAAATCCAAAGGGAAATAAACTACACCTAAAGCTTAATGTGTCATCCATCCAAATACAAAAGAAGGAACCAAAGAATGATAGATATCATTTCTATCACAAGCGTGGACACTATCAGAAAGATTTCCTGAAACGTAAGGCTTGGTTTGAAAAGAAAGGTAAGCCTAGTGCTTTTGTATGTTTTGAATCAAATTTGGCTGAGGTTCCTTATAATACTTGGTGGATTGATTCTGGTTGCACCACTCATGTTTCAAATGTGATGCAAGGATTTCTTACGACCTAAACCATAAAGCCAAATGAAAAGTTTGTCTTTATGGGAATTAGAGTCAAAGCTCGAGTTGAAGCCATTGGAACAAAACGTGGTTTAATGAATGAAAATTCTTCTTACTTGTGGCATAAACGTTTGGGTCATATATCCAAAGAAAGAATACAAAGATTAGTGATGAATGAAATCCTTCCTGATTTGGATTTCACTGATCTTGGTATTTGTGTGGATTGTATTAAAGGAAAATTTACTAAACACATAATTAAGAAAAGCAGCCATAAGAAGCACACAGCTTCTTGAAATCATACACACTGATATATGTGGACCTTTTGATGTGCCTTCATTTAGTGGTCAAAAATATTTTATTACCTTTATTAATGATTTTTCACGTTATGGTTATATCTATTTATTGCTTGAAAAATCTCAATCAGTAGACGTCCTTGAGGTGTTTATTAATGAGGTTGAGAGGCAATTAGATAGAAAAGTGAAAATCATAAGGTCTGATAGAAGTGGTGAATTTTATGGAAGGTTTGATGAATCTGGACAATGTCCTATTCCATTTGCTAAATTTCTTGAAAGGTGTGACATTTGTGCTCAATACACAATGCCTGATACACCACAATAAAATGGTATTGTAGAAAGACGCAATCATACTTTAATGGATATGGTTAGATGTATGTTAAGTTATTCTTCTTTACCCTTATTTTTGTGGATGCATGCTTTAAAAACCGCTATGTATTTGTTAAACAGGGTTCCTAATAAGACAGTTTCAAAGACCCCTTTTGAACTGTGGACAGGAAGAAAACCTAGTTTAAAGCACCTGCATGTTTGGGGTTGCCCAGCATAAATAAAAATTTAATATCCACATGAAAGAAAACTGGATTCAAGAACAACCAGTGGTTTTTTCATTGGTTATCCAGAAAAATCTAAAAAGGTATAGATTTTATTGTCCTAATCATAGTACGAAAATTGATGTAACTGGAAATGCTAGGTTCATTAAAAATGGTGAAATTAGTGGTAGTATAGAACCTTGTAATGTAGAGGTTAAAGAAGTTGGGGTGAAAATTCATATGCCCATCACTTCTAATAAAGTTGTTATTCCTACTATTATTGAAAAGTTTGACAATATACAGGATGAGCAAATGAATGATTATACATCCCAAAATGAAATTGTCACCAATAAACATATAATTGATGAACCAAAACAAGTAGCATTAAGAAGATCTACTAGAGTTAAAAGATCTACTATTTCGAATGATTATATGGTTTATATTCAAGAGTCAGATTTTGACTTAGGAATTGATGATGATCTAGTTTCATTTTCACAAGCCATATGAAGTATAAATTCTAATAAGTGGTTAGATGTCATGAAAGAAGAGTTAAAATCAATGGATCATAATAAAGTCTGGGACATCATTGAATTGCCTAAAGGTTTCAAAAGAGTTGGGTGTAAGTGGGTCTTTAAGACCAAACACAACTCAAAAGGCAATATTGAACGATATAAGGCTAGACTTGTTGCCAAAGGTTTTACTCAGAAAGATGGTGTTGACTACAAAGAGACCTTCGCTCCAGTTTCTAAGAAGGACTCATTAAGAATTATTATGGCGATAGTAGCTCATTACGACTTAGAGTTACATCAAATGGATGTGAAAACAGCCTTTCTTAATGGGGATTTAGAGGAAGAAGTTTATATGGATTAGCCTGAAGGGTTTTCAGTTGAAGTAAAGGAACACATGGTGTGTAAACTTAAGAAATCAATATACGGACTTAAACAAGCTTCCCGACAATAGTATCTCAAGTTTAATAATACCATCACTTCTTTTGGATTTAAAGAAATTACTGTTGACCGGTGTATATATCTAAAGGTCAGTGGGAGCAAGTTTATAATTTTGATTTTATATATTGATGATATTTTGCTTGCTACTCATGATCTTGGTTTATTATATGAAACTAAGAAATTTCTCTCAAATAACTTTGAAATGAAAGATATGGGTGAGGCATCCTATGTGATAGGAATTGAAATATTCCGTGATAGATCATAAGGAATATTATGATTGTCTTAGAAAGCATATATTAATAATGTTCTTGAGAGATTTAAGATGGAAAATTATTCAGCAAGTATTGTTCCAATTCAGAAAGGAGATAAATTGAACCTTATGCAATGCCCAAAGAATGAATTGGAACATAAAGAAATGGAACAAATTCCTTATGCATATATTATTGGAAGTTTAATGTATGCTCGGACTTGTACTAGACTAGATACAAGTTTTGCTGTTGGAATGTTGGGTAGATATCAAAGTAATCCAGGGCTTGATCATTGGAAAGCTGCAAAGAAAGCTTTATGATATCTACAAGGAACAAATGAATACATGCTCACTTTTAGAAGATCTGATCATCTTGAGGTGATTGGATATTCAGATCAGATTTTATTGGATATTTGGATTCTAGAAAATCCACATTTGGATATGTGTTTCTCTTAAGTGGAGGAGAAATATCTTGGAAGAGTACGAAGCAGTCCGTCATTGCTACATCCATAATGGAAGCTGAATTTGTGGCATATTTTGAGGCCACAATTCAAGGATTATGGCTACCGAATTTTATTTCAGGACTTGGAGTTGTTGACAGTATTGCCAAGCCGCTGAAAATTTATTGTGATAATTCCACAACAGTCTTCTTTTCTAAGGGTGCTAAATATATGGAATTAAAATACTTTGCAGTTAAAAAAGAAGTTCCGAAACAAAGAGTATCATTTGAGCACATTAGCACCAATTTTATGATTGCGAATCTATTAACTAAAGGGTTGCCACTGAAGATATTTCATGAACATGTTGTTAGGATGGGCATTACTGAAAATCCTTATTAAGATTATGTTTATTTGCTCTTTATATCTTTTGATACTTTGAGCTCTTTTATTTTGTTTCTGATAATTAGTATATCATGTTTATTATGATGTGTACACATAAATGTTTATGTGAATATTAATGGGATTTGTCTTTGTAAAGACATTATTGATGGACCATTATGTGTGTATCTTATTATGCTTCATATTAAGTATAAGATTAGTATCGTGATACATGGAAGGAAATACATCGAACTAATGGTGTGTGACCGCCATGATTCGTATTAATTTTGTACTTAACAATGAATTTATGATTTGACCAATTTAAGGAAAAGGATTTATATATTGCGCTTATGTTAATTAAATTATTAATTGAATAATTTCATATGGGCGAAGTGGGATAATGTTAGAATAATTAAATATATTAATTATGCGAGACGTCGCAATAATTATTTAAGAATATAAATTTAATAATATAAACCATTATGTGGCCCATATATTTGAATTATTGCAATTTAATTATTTATGTTTAAATCCTATTGGTAAAGAAAAGATAATTTGATCATTTATTTATGGACCGTTTGATCAAATAACTCCTATGAGTTATTGTAAAATAACTCATATGAACGGTTATTGTAAAATAACTCCTATGAGTTATTGTAAAATAACTCCTATGAGTTATTTTATGAGTTATTGTAAAATAACTCTCATGAGCGGTTATTATGACAAATTCGCAGGAAATAACTATTGGTCCTCTCTCTCTCTCTCATAAGGAGGAGTTATCTTGCTCCATAGAGGACTAACTCATGATAGAAGAAAGTGAAGGGAGAAGGGAGAGAAACCGTAGTTCGAAATTTGACGAATTCAAAATGAATCAAGGTATGTTTTTCTTCTGATTAAAGATTGTGAAAATTATCTTATTTTAAGATCTTAAGGATTTAAGACTTATGTAAATTCAAGTCTTTTTTTTTGTTTCAATTTATTTCACATAAATTATTTTATGAGTTTATGGAAAGAGTTAGAGAACTCTATGAAGTCTTACATCTTTTTCTAACAATTGTTTTTGCCATCGTAAATGGTTATAACGCAGAAGTAATGTTCCAAACATTGTTACTCGCAGTCCACTTCTGTCATGGGATTCAAGAGGTCATAATCGTTTCCCAAGAAGTTGATATTGTCTACCCTCACCATTTGAAACCCCTCGCTCTGGACTTCGAAGATCCAGCTGGGCATGGTGAAGGTGTACGTACTTGCAGCCCATGTAAGCCCTGTTCGGGTCGATCCACGTATAACCCACAGGGCACTGGTACACGACTTTCTTATTCGCATCATAGGTGCAATAGTTGTTGAAGCCGCAAACACCACTTCCGAGTGAGGTAAACATATTCGTGCAGATATCGACGGTCTTGAAATCCATGATCACCCACTCTACGACAACGCCGACAATGGCCGAAGGCTTTGGTGGACGTAATGGCGGAAGACCCCGTTAGGGTCGAGGGTTCATCAGTTGTAGAAATTTGAGGTTGATTTCATCGTTGCTGAGGTCAAAGTTGTTAGTAATGCTATTGTTGATGAGATCAGGTTGATGTATCTAGAGGTGTTGAAGATGAGGCTGCAGTTAAAATGGGTTATAAAAATTAAAAATTTGTTATAAAATAATAAAAAATTATATAAAACAATATTTTAATAACCAACACAATAATCCAAGAGATACAAAAATAAGATAAAAAAAGAGATCTTATAGCAGAAGCCTGAGCACAACTGAGGTGGGCAAGTCTAATAAAACCAAATGCCTTTAGGATTGGAATCAGATATTCTCACAGATACTTCCTTAGAATAGTATTATTACCAAAATAAATAAAAGTGATCAAAAAATTAATAGATCCATTGTAAGTATCTTCCAGAGGGGTAGTAATGAAGATAATAAAATAGATCTTACAGGTTCCATTTAATTCAAATTCTTCCTAGTAGAGCGTAGTGAAAATAATGATTATTATTTTCATTTTGAAAGAAGAATTCTTAACTTATTATCATTCAACTTGGTGTAAAAAAAAAAGCCCGAGATAACCAATAATTTTAACTTCACAGAACTCATACAATTAATACCTTTACCTGGAATTGGACGTGTTGGTACCAGAGGTCTAGTAAGAATTGTACTGGAATCAGGTGGGAATGGCAATGAGATAAAAGACGAGGTCGCCGTTCGACTGTACAGCGAGCTTAAACTTTCCATCACTGAAATCATATTCTCTAAGCTTTGCCACAAGTTTGGAATTGGGGCTTAGGGTTTGGGTGGGAAGAATGGTGTCTGTTGGATCGGAAAAGCTCTCCGACAAGACCGAGCTGTCAGAGGCAACAATAATGAAGTCGCCTGTGTCGAGCATGGCGGCATAGGAGGCAGCCGATGAGCTGGGGTTCCAGACTTTGGTTCTAGAGGAATCTCGGAGAGAGAGCCGTCCGTCAGAGGTAAGGATGGCGGATGAATTGGGAGGAAGTGGATTGTCTCTGTTTGGGGTCCAGACGAAGGTGGTGGTATTGGGTGGTATTGGGGAGATTGGCGAACCATATGGCTAGGAGGAAGAGGGAGGAGTTTGTGGGGAGGGGGAGGAGATAGAACCCCCAATCAGGAGGTTCTTGGAAGAGAGAACGGAGCGGAAGAAAGAATGGAAAGAGAGAATGAAATCTTGTCGTTTATTACTGTTAACAGTCTTCTATATATAGAGTTACAAAGGAATATAAATGCAAGAAAGTACAAATATAACAGGTGCATAACAGGTTCTTTAACAGCCCCCTCAAATTAACCATTATGGGAACAAATGGTTAATTTGGACTGTAAGAAGGTAAAACGGTTACAAGGAAGAGACTTGGTTAGAATGTCTGCTATCTGATCTGTCGAGCTAATGTGAGCTATGTCGATGTTGCCTTACTTGATATGATCCCGAATGAAATGATGGTCGATCTCGATGTGTTTGGTGCGAGCGTGGAGTACGGGATTGTTTGCGAGAGCAATTGCAGAGGTATTGTCGCAGTGAAGTATAGTAGCTTGGTGCTGCAGTATAAGTTGTTCGACAGCCAGTCGTCGAATCCACAGGACTTCGGATATCGTGAAAGAGAGAGAGAGAGTGATACTCGGCTTCGGTGGATGAGCGGGCGACGGTCGTTTGCTTCTTGACATACCATGAAATCAGGTTAGGGCCAAGAAACGTGCAATACCCTGACATGGACTTCCGTTCGATCGGATTAGTCGCCCAATCGGCATCGAAGTAGCTACGAAGATGAAGGGATCCTTTTGTGATAGGCAACCCGAAATCAACTGCGCACTTTATATAGCGAAGTAATCGCTTGAGAGCAAGGAAGTCGCAGTTTCGTGGTTGGTGCATGAACTGACAGATGGAGTTGACGGTGAATGCAATGTCCGGTCTAGTGATAGACAGGTATTGGAGTGATCCTACTAGTTTCCGAAACAGTTGTGGATCCGAGAAGAGAGTCTCGTCGTGAAGCTTTGACGGCTTGGTGAGTGCTGGAGTGTTGGAGGGTTTAAAAGCGGAGAAACCTGCGTGAGAGATAAGGTCATTTGCATAGTGTGTTTTGAAAGTTCATTAGGGATGTTAGGCCCTATAGAATTGGCCCAAAGCTAATTAAAAGAGAGAGGTGAATTAGAAAACTTTAAAACCAAAGATAAAACTCCAACCAAAATCACCACAAACAAAGTGTGGAAGAAAAATAAATGCGGAAGCGATAATAAGAAAATAACACACCGGATTTATAATGGTTCGGTCAAACCTTGACCTACGTCCACTCCTTGGAGGAACCCTCCAAGTATTGCACTAAAATTGTGACTCTCCTTTAGCCCCCACATCTAGGCGGAGAAGCCCTTACAAAATCACTTCCACCTTCCCCGGTGCGGCGGAGTCGCCGGGTCCTTTGACACCAAAGAGATCTTCTTCTTTGGTGAACTTACCTCGAGACAAGCCTTGAATCCGATGGTACTAAGGTGCGAGTTCGCCGGAGCAACCGTGTGGATCCCCCACCACACTCCCTTGAGTTCCTCCCCCTCACAGGATCTTCTCCCTCTCAAACTCCACCCTTTTCTCTCTCCCTTTCAAGCTCTCTCTTTAAGTTTCCCCCACAAGAACGAAGCTACAATGGCTGCCAAAGACACTTACAAAGTGTCATGCCAAGCTTAAATAAAAGCTCTCAAGATGAGCTCATTAATGCAAGTTGCCTACATTATCGTCCAGGACGATAGGTATATCATCCTGGCTGATCAGTACAAATTCAGCTCATCAGCCTTGGACGATTTGAGACGATCAAAAGAAAATTGGTTACATCGTCCATGCCGATCTCACGATCATCCTGGCCGATTAGTTTAAAACCGATTTCAATCATCCTGATCATCGCCCTAAATATAAGCTGTCCGATGTAGATCGTCCAGGCCATCGTCCTGACCGATCTTGCGATCGTCCCGGATGATGTGATCATATCAATCAACCATTAATGCTTTCCAAAGATACCAGATCAATTTAGGCATAATTGATTTAGATCGTCCTAGACGACAATAATATCATCTTGGCCAATTTCCTAAAACAAAGAATTCCGAAACTGATTATGGCGGTTGATTCTTTCTAAATTGAGCAGATTGTCATGGCCGATACAGGTATCGTTCAGGCCGATCTGTTGACGGCTGCCTTAATGTGGATGCCCTAATTAGGGTTTCTGGTTTTGGACATATCGTCCCGGCCGATATTACCAAAAACAGAATTCTTTTAGGGAACAACAGGAGATCTTCCAAGTTACAAAGCAACTGATCCCATATCAAATACAACAGACTCAAGAAAGGAAAAAAGATTACAAACTGACTCAGACCTAGTCTATCCAAACTTGAGCTGGTTCCAGATTGGATTCTAATCATGTGGACCTGAAATGTTAGCACATAAGACAATCGTAGAGAAATAAGGAATGTTTGCTATCATCAAAATCATAGATCCGCAACAATCTCCCCCTTTTTGATGATGGCAAAACATTTCAATTTGAACTTTCATAAAAGTAAATCCTCATAATCTCCCCCTCACTAGAATAAATCCTTTTAAAAAAATAGAGGAGATAAAAAAATTTTTGTTGTTTTTAATTTTAAGATACAAACACGAAACAGTACAAAAATTCAACAATACGTTCTCCCCCTTTGACATTATCAAAAAGAGAGGAGGCACAAACAAAAAAATTAAATGAACAAAAAAATGTTCCCTGATCTAGTGAAAAAAAATTCTTAAAATGAGAAAGTTACCTCTTGGTTTTAATAAAAAACTTAGTAGAATTTGATTGACAACGCATAGCCCAGAAAAGGTTAGAAAATTAGAATTTGATCATCCAAACTCAAGTTCTTTTAAAAGGATAAAAAACTTTTTAATTCAATATCTAATTCAAAGAATAAATTAGAGATAGAAACAATTATTTTTCAAAACTCCTTCCATAAAATATATCTAATAGAAGATCAATGCACGAATTGCTGAATTAGGAACCAAGATTTTCAAGCACAAATTTCGAGCATATTAGGATTTTCTTAAGCTTTTAGTAGTATAAGAAAAATAAGCATATTTTTTTGTGTGGGCTCATTTTATGCCTTTTATCACTTGAATGGCTCTTTGAGCATCTTTTGATTTTTAATACACTTTGTGTATTTTTTTTTTTAATTTGGCGACATTGCGCATCTTTTGGTTTGACATCATTGGCCACTTTTTTTTTTATTTTTTAAAAATATGATTTCTTTCTTATATTTTCAAAACCAAAGTAAACCCAAATTATTGACAACACGAACAACTTAATTAAAAAAATTTTATGGTGGATTCAACAATCTTGCAAAAGATTTCTATGCGATAGAAAAAATGTAGGGAGATAAAAAAAATTGTTTCAAAATCCAATTTAAAATATGATGAAGATTTTGAATCAAAAGAAAATAACCTCTTTATGAAGAGAGAAAGAGAAACAAAAATACGAGTTTCCTTCCTTTGACTGTGTTAGAGAAGTCAAACACAACTTACCAAAGATTTTAAGAAAAATAGGAAGTAGATTTTTTCATTTTTAGAAAAGTGAATGTGTGTGTTGATCAGAGAAAAACTTTCACGAAAGAAAGAAAAAGAAAAAATTTCAAGAATAAAATAAACTAAAAAATAAAAAAAATGAAAAACATAAAAACGAAAACACAACACAAAAACACGAAAGGCTTTTAACCATTATCTCTCTCCTGGTCCGATGCTTCAGAGACCAGATCTTCCCATGAGATTTTTTGCCTTTCATTATTTCCCCAGTTTAAATTTTGCTTCGCCTGGCCTTTTCCATTCGTAGGAGAAATTCTTAAATT